GTTTATGTAATGTTAACTATTCAAGTTGTGAACATAATAAAAGCAAGAACAAGCTAACCTGCTTTTCCAACTCAGCAAGTACTATCAGACATCTTTTTGTCACAAACATTAGGTAAATACAACATCTGTGTTTCACAGCCAGCCAGTACCTAAGTTTAGAAACCAGTCCAGATATCAATTTCAAAATAGAACAATGACCAGAACCTGAAGGATAAACACACCATGAAAATAAAATACACGGAAAATTTAAAAATGAGAAGTCAAGTTGCACTGTACATTTTAAGGACTCTAAAATTAACTTCTGTTGTTGGGAAAGGATTGACTGATTAGCAACTTCAATGAAAATATGAAATATGCATTTTTTTCCTCTACATTCTTATCTTAGCAATCTAAACATTTTTTCAAAAGAAAAGGCTGTCCAACAATATTTTTAGATCAGTGACTCTCAAATTTAGCTGGTATAAATATCAATGAAGGAGAGTATTAAAAATGCTGTCAAGGTCTCACCTCCAAATTGGTATTATGATACAGTACAGAGAGTGGAAAAGATTTACAAATTCAACGAGCACCCCAGGAGATTACTATGCAGATGGCCCACAGAACATTCTGAAAAACACTTCTAGTCTAAAAAACCCAAATGAGCTATATCCAATCCTCCTGGTCAACTTCAAACCAAAAACCCTAGATCCTAGCTTTTGAGCTGTTTTTCACCCTGTAATAAATGTAACTGAACTAAATTATGAAAAATACAGGAAACAAGAAGAAAAGGTACTTTCACCTAACCACTCCAATGTGCTTGTGCTTATTAGCATTTTGGCATGTTTCCTTCTATCCTTGTCTCTCAGTATACAATATTTATTCTTTCTTTTCACAGTTGTAATCATGGTGGTTTCAAATTCTATTTATTATAAGTATTTTCGATGTCATTACCTAGTCTTTGTGAGTTATCATATTTAGAGACCACATTATATTTCATCAAGTGGACCTATCATTGTTTACCTAACCGTTTTCTACAGTTGACTACTTCCTGAAAAAAAAAAGTTAACAACAAACCCCAAAACATCAGTCCTGCAAGACTTTTCAACTACTCTCCTCCCCCGAATAAAAGCATAAAAATGTGCAAATGGGCAAACAGCACAACCTGATTCGCCCTCTATTCTTGCCACTTGTCTAATTCCAGAGCCCGGGCGACAATCCACTATCGGAATGTGAAAACGCCTTTCAATGGTAAAACGCACGCTAACTGGATGGAGACATGAACATTCACTTTAAGCAGGACAGTAGGCCGTCCCGGCCTACACAGTTTGACTTCGACCTGCCGGAGCATCCCTGGCTCGGGAGGAAACTGAGGCCCGGGCGAGTCAGGAGCGCCCGGCCCAAGGTCGTGGCGGAGCCGGGGCAGGCCGGCCCCGGTGCCACCTCCCGCCGGGCCGCGCCGCGCGCCCGCCGCTCACCTCAGCAGTGCCAGGAAGGCTGCGGGCTCCACGTCCGGCAGCTCGATCTCGGCCGACGTGGTGGCCATGCCGCCGTTGAACATGGCGTCGAAGACGGCGCTGCCGGCCGCCAGCACGAAACGGTGGGCGGGGATGCGCTGCGGGCCCCCGGCGGCGGCGGCGGCGCCGCGGCCCTTGCCCAGCACGAAGCGCACATCGCTCAGCAGCTCTGAGTTGAAGAGGAAGGCGAAGCGCTCCTTCAGCGACGCCTTGGTCGCCTGCCAGTTGTACAGCGGCTCCCGCTGCAGGGGGAGCAGGGGCCCCAGAGAGGACGGCGATGGAGGCAGCGGTGGCCCCGCGGGGCCCGGTTCCGCCTCAGTCCCCGGCGCCTGCTCCCCTGCTGCGGCCGGCCCGAGCGAGGCCATCCTCCAGCTGCGCGGCTCCCCGGGCTAGGGAGAGAGCTCCCAGCGCCCCGCCGCCATCACCGAAGCCGCCCCCGGAGGCCGGCGCCGCCTCCCAGCCTTCCGGGAAAGGCGCTTCCGGAGGCCGCGCGCCTCCGCCGGCCCCGCCCTGCTGGCGCGCGCTCCCGCCCTGCTGGGTGGCGAGGCGGCGCCGCCGAGGTGGGGCTCCGAGGACTCCGGGCGGCGGGAGGGCGGGGGCGTGGGGAGCACGTCGGAGCCCCGTGCTCCCGGAGGCGCAGCTTCTGCGGCCGGGCCCACCGGCGCCAGCCCCCAGGCGCCGCCTCGGATCAGCGAGCGGCTCGAACTCCTGCCTCTTCCTCCCCTCAGACCCCTCGTCACCAGCCCAGTGCCCCCACGAGTGCAGTCCCCACGCCTCTCCCGAGGAGTTTCTCTCCTGGAAGTGGAAGGGGCCAGAGGGAATGGCCAAAGGAGCGTGCGAGGAGGGGACGACATGACTCCTCACAGCCCTGTCCCTCGGGCGTGGCCGGGTCACCGCTCCAGATGGGCGCTGCTTCTGTGGAGATGCCAGGAGCAGAGCTGCGAGGCGTGGCAGCCCGGCGACCTCTCCCCAGGTCTGCTCTCTGACTGCCCCTCTGCTTCCGTGTCTCAGAGACACGTCCTCCTGCTCCTTCCACCCCTGTATGTGAAACCCGTCCTGCTTACCCCTTCTCTTCGAGCACTTTCCAGTCCTTACACTGAAGTAAAGAATCAACGGAAAAAGCACGGTCACCTGTGTTACTCCTTCCCAGGCGGTCTTGACAATGAGGATCATCCCGGCTGGGGGACAGAGGCCTGCCCTCCACCCTGCGGCGAGGCAGGTCCTGAGTTAAGTCAGCCGTCAAAGGAGGAAGGTGAAAAACCCTGGAACTAGTTTTCAACCAGACAGGTATAGCTGGAAACACCTCTTCTTTGAACGCAAAGCCTTATAGATTACAAGTGCGAAGTAATCTTCATAAGTAAACCGTAAACCAGGGTTTCTCCTGTAAAATCCCTCCGTCAAGCCCCCCCAAAGGGGACTTCCAGCTGTTAGACGTTTAGAATGGCAACTTCCTTGGGAAACTTAAAGAGGAAGGTACTGAAACAGGATGAGCAACCGCGTCCCTAATACTTCAGCAGGCATCTCCTACTGACAAAGACGTTATGCTGCAAATGATACCATTATCACACCTGGCAAAATTAATAATGTCATCGTATCATCTAGCATGTCTACTATCGTTTAATATAGTCCATATTTAAATTTCCCAATTGTCTCAAAAATATCTTTCATAAAGGATTTTTTTCCAATCCAGGATCCAATTGATGTTCACGTACCGTTGGTTGTGTTGAGTTCTTTGAAGAGTCCGGGGGACTGTGGAGTAGAGTGCTCCACAGTCCGGATCTGCCTGATTGCTTCCACGTGGCTTCATGATGACAGTCCAGGTTAAACATTTTTGGCAAGAATAGGATGCAGGTGATGTTGTGTACTTCTTACTGCTTTAGTTCAAAAGGCACGTGATGTCCCACAGTTGGTGATGCTAAGCTTGATGACAAGGCTGTGACTGCCCGATTTCTCCATTGTGAAGGTGTATGATTTCTGTGTAATTATTATAATAAGTAATCCATAAGAGTGATACTCTGAGGCTCTTTATTATTCTGTAAAGAAGAGCCCTCCCTTCTCTTCCTTTTCCTCCTTCCTCCTCTCTCTTTTTGAGTATCAGTGTGGACTCATGGATTTTTTTTAAATGTGTTATACAATCCATCATCAAAAATTGACTGTATTTTAAATCTCAAGGAAAACCTCAAGTTACCAGAGCAAAAATAGTATAGGCCACATTGTCTGGTAGCGAACAATAAAATCATGATTTAATAGCCAAAAATATGAGGATACCCCATATCAAAATGTATCTAATGCAGTAAAAGCTGAGCTTAAGGCTAAAGCTTAGCCAAAACCACTTCGTTTACCAAACTGGAAATAATAAAAAATAAATAAACATTTCAGCACTTGGTATAATACCTGTCACATAATATGTCCTTAGTGAACGTTGAACAAACTTATCCAGGAGTTAGAAAAAAAAAGCAACACAAACCAAAGGAAAGCTAGAGAAAGGAATTAAATATAAAGCAGAATGATTATGATTTTGCTTTTCTATTTGAAGGAAAAAACTTTTTTTCTGTTTTCTTACTTTCTAGATATGTAGATGTGTAAATATTTAGATATGTAACATATTTATAGCTAAATATTTACTTAGTTTCTAAGTTTTCTAAGAACAGAAATTCTGTGGAACTGGAAAACAAATCCAAGCAGATTCTTTGACATCAAAAAAGAAACTTTTTTGTTTCTTTTAAATCAGAAGTAAACAAGAAGTGCATTTTCCCCCCAAATGTGAGAATACATAGGACTTATCCCGGGTATAATTAAGAATACAGATTATTTGACCTCACCCCTAGAGATTCTGATTCAGTAGGTCTAGGTAGGGCCTGAGAACTTGTAATTGCAAATGCAGCCCAGGTATTCTTATGCAGCCTCTCCATAGACTGTACTCTGTAGAATACTGTATTACCTAGTTTAATGAAGGGAAAAAAATGAAAAAACACAGAATTAGATACAAGAAAGGATATATAAACATAATTATGGAGATTAAAAATATAAATGTGAAGAACTCTATTGGTACCTTTGAAAATATTAAAGAAATGTACTAGTCTAGGAAACCTGGCCAGGCATGGTGGCTCACACCTGCAATCCCAGCACTTTGGGAAGCTGAGGTGGAAATGCTTGAGACCAGGAGTTCAAAACCTGGCCAAGACTTATTAAACGTTAAATTAGGAAAACAAAACAAAACAAAACAACAACCAAGAAACCTGACCAAGACAGCTCACAGAAAGCAAACTATCAGCCAATCTCATATATGAATAAAATATGAAAATTTCAAAGTAACAGCAACTCAAATTTAGCACTAATTAAAACCATAATTAACCACAACTAAGTAAAATTTATCCAAGTAATTCAAATGTAATTCAATATAAAGAAATAGTACTGGCAATTATCACCTCAAATATAGACATCTTGGCCCAGGTATCAAAAAGACATCTCTGTATATCCTTTGACACAGTGGTTTCCCTCTGGGGTATTTGTCCTATTCAAATATGTTCATATATTTGTGAGATGACTAAGTACATGGATATAATTGCAGCTTTATTTGTGACAATAAAATATTGGGGCCGGGCGCGGTGGCTCACGCCTGTAATCCTAGCACTCTGGGAGGCCAAGGCGGGCAGATTGTTTGAGCTCAGGAGTTCCAGACCAGCCTGAGCAAGAGCAAGAACAAGACCCCGTCTCTACCAAAAATAGAAAGAAATTAATCGGACAACTAAAAATATATAGAAAAAATTAGCTGGGCATGGTGGCACATGCCTGTAGTCCCAGCTACTCGGGAGGCTGAGGCAGTAGGATCGCTTGAGCCCAGGAGTTTGAGGTTGCTGTGAGCTAGGCTAACACCACGGCACTCACTCTAACCAGGGCAACAGAGTGAGACTCTGTCTCAAAAAAAATAAAAAATAAAAAATAAAATAAAATAAATAAAATAAAATAAAATATTGGAATATCCATCAGGAGAGAACTGGTTAAATTATGGTATAGTCATATGATGGAACACTATATAGCCATTAAAAAGCAGATAGTATTATATGTACTGATATGGAAAGCTCTTCAAGTTATATTGCCCAGTGAAAAAGGAACATAAGAAAAAAAATGAAAATGAGCCATAAAGCTAAGATAATACAACATTTAACAGGGCATTATAATTTCTAGACTGTCTGGGTCAATGTATTAATCAACCGTTGGCCTTGATCTTGTTCTACTTCAGTTTTCTCATTTGTAAATTTGTTATTAATATTATATAACAATTATATAATAATAAGAGCTATATCATAGAGTCAGGAGTGGATCCAGGTTTTACGGATCTGAAGCTTATACAACTGGGGGGAGTACTTTCTAAGAAAAAGAATTCAAAATTAGAAAATTGGGGTATATGGTCTTCATTGAATAAGTCTTTCAAACCTTTCTATATGTTTGAAATTATTAGAAAAATTAGAAGAGTATGAGGAAAAAATAATAACAAGTCACACATTTTTAAAAAGCTAACAAAAATCACAAACAACACAAATTCTAAAAATAGCAATCTTTTTTATTAACTGCCTGAAACACTTCTATAATACTTTTTTTCCATGCAGTTGTGGCTTCATACTCTTTGATTGTCTCTTCACATGAAAATAATTTTGGAATATCATTTTCTAGAGAGAGAATAGAAAAATTATGTTTTTCTTCTAACATGATCCAAAAATTACCATTGGTTGTTTAGAGAAGTTTCTTCATTTTCAGAAATTGTTACTGGTAAATAGCATATTTTTAAGATTGTTCTGAAATCTAGGAATCTCTTGATATTTCTTTTCTGTATGAGCCATAACAAACATTTTTAGAACTGCTACAGATTCTTGCTCTACAAACACAGGAATTTTGAAAAATTCTATTTTGGGTGATTCCTGTCTTAAAAAAGTATGATTATCTATTGTTGTAATCGATGAATTATCAAGAATATTTCTGATAGGAGAAGACTTCTTTTTTGACCAAGTGTTAATGAGAACCAAATCCTCTATTTACAAATTTATACTTTGATGGATTGGAAGAATTTTCCAGACGAGCTGTATTTGTAAACTTATTTTTCTCCACTGCTCACACGCTCTGGGGCTGGGTCTCAGAGGATCCGTTTCTATTGTGATGAGTTCTGGCCCCGTGTCACGACCTTTGTGTCATGATGCTGGCTAGGTCAGCACAGTAGGTGGTGGGAGTGTTCCTGGAAGGCTTTCCCACAATGTACATCTAGCACGAGTGACTAGTAACCACAGAAGGATATCCTGCTAACCTAGCTGAATATATCCCTAACTCGGCTTCTCCCTAACGTCAGAGGATACTCCAATGACATAGGGAAATTATGACGGAAGATTTGTCAGAAGCAACACTCTGAATCAACTACTGTTGAAATATCCTATTTTGCAAATTTTACAAAAATACAACATGGTGTGAATATATTGCTAGGGGCCGTCCCAGGGCCTTAGGACACATATGTGCAACTGAAGGGCCCTAAAGCTTAAGCATCATTAGTTTCATGGTAAATCTTCCTCCGCATGGAGTCGATGTGAGGAC